TCAACATTTTCTCACAGGATCCTTCAGTAGAACAACTTGAGGCTTGAACTTTTCTTCAGTTCTTTCAGCTTGAGATATGCTGAACTGATCTAACTCTAGGTCTTTGTGGATTTCATTATGATGCTGTTATAGGTTCAAATAAATAACAGCCACTAGAATGTCTTCGTCATTTAGAAGAGTCTTTATTCAGTTATAACTGGACTGCTAGAATCTGAAAGCAATTCTTTGATTGCAGTCCTGAGCACGCATTTCAGTCCATCGTTAAAGGCAGAAATTCATTTATCACCTGTCTAGGATTCAAGCAAGCGTGACCAGAAGCAGAAAGCAAAATTAATGGATTAATTGTTACTTCAAGAAGAGCGAGCATGCACTACAAGGTACATTCCTTATCACAAAAGAAACAACACCAAAATTGATTATAACATCCTGGTTACCATAACAAGATTATCATAACACAAACAATATTAAAATGGATGATAACATCCTAGTTATCATGACAAGATTAACTACACCATTCAGATTACAAAGTCAAAAGGAACAATATTGAAAATAATTTTTAAAAATGATATATTGAAAAATAGTCAAAACTAATTCTAAGTGTCCTGAACCTGGGAACATGGGCGCACATTCTAAAATTAATCACCAGCAGAGACTTTCTCATAAGGAGAGGGAAAAAGGCAGGTCAACTAGCAGTCAACTTACGAAGATGGGAAGGAAGAACCGCAAGTTATTTAGCAGCCAACAAAAATGGAGTTTCTTTTGCTAGTCTACCTCAGTATATTTCAGTATAATGCCTTATTTTGTTTTCTCTGGCTGCCTATTGAAGTTTTCTGTTCAGCTCTTTTACTTCATCATTTTCCCCCATTTGCTGTAGATATTCTATGCTCAAGAGCAAGTTTCAGATCTCTTCTGATATCCACTTTTTCTTTCTTTAACTTCCCTCTAATGATCTTTTGCTTTGCTCATGTATGATGTTCTTGATGTCGTCACACAGCTCCTTAGGTCTTCTGTTCAATGCACTAGACCTGTTCTTAAGATGCTCTTGACATTCAGGTGGGACATACTCAAGGTAATATTTTGCTTTCATGGAACTGTTTTCAATTTCTTGAACTTCAACTTGAACTTACATATGAGCAATTGATGGACAGTACCACAGTTAGACTGGCCTCATTTTCTCTAATTATATTGAGCTTCTCCACAGTCTCTTCCCACAGATGTAGTGAATTTTGGTCCTGTGTATCCCATTTGGTGAGATCCACATACATAGCAGTGCTTATATTGTTGAAAAAAAGGTATTTGCCATGAAGAATTCATGGGTGATGCAAAATTCTGTCATACAAACTACAGCTTTATTTTAATCACCCAAACAATATTTTCCAACTACTGATCCTCCCTTTTTGTTTCCAATTTCTGATTCTAATCACTAGTAGTTATCAATACATCTTGTGGTTTTAATAAATTTCACAATGTAGAAATTGGTAGAATTCTTTAACTTCATCACTGGCTTTAGTAGTTCATACATAGATCTGAAGAATAATTGTCTTAACTGCTCTTTCTTATAGATGTATCTTATCACAGAAAATATTATCCTTCAAGATCTATCTAGAGATGTTATTTTAGATGATGGATGAAACACTATTCCTCCTGAATTTGTCATTCCCCAAATAGTGAGCAATATTTGACTGTCAGATTCAAAATAGCCAATACCATTTCATTTCACCTTCCTAATCCCTAGAATATAAATCCTTACGTGTTCCACTTCATTTCTGATGACTTCTGATTTTCCTAGGTTCATATTTTACACATTCTACTCTTCAATTACTAATGAATGTCTGCAGCTGTTTCAAAAGTTTGTTCCGTCATGACATTCAGGTTGATTCTACTTTGAGGAGACCGCGCTACCCCAGGTAGACTTTGAACGTCTTCTACCCTGAAGGCCTCATCGCTCAGCCCTAAACCAGACAATGCTGGAACCAACGAAATGGGTCCCTAACACCAACAGACAGACCAGACCAGGTTGTGCTGCCACTCAGAAGGTTCTCAGCGGCTAATTTTTCAAAAATGGAATGCCTCTTCCTTCTTTCTACTCTGTTCTTTGTCTGGAAGCTCGGCTAAAACCTGTTCCCCAGGGGTAACCCTGCTGGTATTTAGAAATATTGGTGGCATGGATGCAGCACCACAGCAACAAGCAGGCCATGACAGTATGACAAACTGACAAAAGAATGGGGTCTGGATTGATGGTTAATGTTCTATTCCTTGGTCTCAGTGATGATCACATAGTTTTGTTCACTTTATGTAAATTCATTGAGCTGTATAGGCATGATTGTGCACTTTTCTACATACATGTTGTTCTTCCCCCCAAAAGAGTGAAAAACAGATACTAAAATATTGGTATGAAGAATAGAAGACATGTGGAAAGTAAGTTTCTCTAAAAGGAAAATCTATAAGGAAATACATCTAAACATAAAATTTGAGCATGTGAATTAACTTCCAGCTTAAATTTTTTATACAATGTAGTACTTAGCTTCCACAGTGAATATTAAAAAAATCTTTTACCTAAAGTATGGATTACAGGTCAACATAAAGCAAACATAAAGCAAAAATCTTAGCAACTGGACAAAAAAGCAACATCATGATAAATGGAGAAAATATTGACGTTATCAGGATTTCATTTTACTTGGATCCACAATCACTGCCTATGGGCACAGCAATCAAGAAATCAAATGATGGCATATTGCACGGGGCCAATCTGCTGCAAAAGACCTCTTTAAGTGTTCAAAGCAAAGGCAAGGTGTCACTTTGAGGACACCTTTGTGTCTGACCCAAGACAGGGTATTTTAATCACCTTATATACATGGAAAAGCGGGATAATGGATAAGAAAGACCATAAAACAATTTGATGCATTTATTTATGATGTTGATGAAGAACATTTGAATCTGTCATTAAGTACAGTAAGAATGTGCCTTGGAAGTGAGGGTGGTAAGACTTTGCCTTGTGTATTGGGGACACCTTATCAAGAGGGACCAGTCCCTGGAGAAAGACAACTTTCTTGGAAAATAGATAGCCAAAAAGAGGAAGTCCCTCAGTGAGATGGATTATACAGTGGCTGAAACTATGGGAGCAAATATAGAAGTGATTGTGAAGACAGTGCAGGAGTAGACATTGTTTCATTGTTAGACAGAATCATTGAGGTACAGACCAGTCAACAGAGCCTAACATCACCAACAATAATCACGTCCAAAATATTGATATCATATTTTTCTCCTCTTGTATTGGGCCGATAGGGTAGCCTTTTTGTTAGAAATCAAGATCATATAAGCCCACTGAGAGACTGTAAGTTTTCTGGAGTGGGTAATACCTTGGTTCTTGGCTTTGTGTGATGAAAGAATTTGTGCCGAAGTCCATTTTGCAATCCAAGTGGGTTTTTATGAAGGACTAGACACATTTCAGGATTTACAAGTCTCAGAGGGCACTTGCTATCCCTGGGCATGCCAAGCCATGTAGAAGCCACACGGAAGTTCACAACCAGGCATGAACAACTATGTAGAAAAGAGCACCCATGCATGCAGACCTGGGGGGATCTCAAAGACCAAAGGGTCGAGGGAGAAAGGGCAAGAGGTTGAGGAGACCAGAGCCAACTGGGGAAGAGGAATGGAGCCAGCAGGTGGAGCATGAGAGAGCAAGAGGGGCAAGGGAGAGGCTGGGGGCCCTCAGTGGCCCAGAACAGGTGCCTGTGGGTCCAACGCAGGCCTGTGTGTGCCTCCACCCTCTGAGCCGCCTCTGTCCAGGAGTGGGGTGGAAGAGAGAATGGCCTTCCCAAAGCCTGGATATTGATGGTGTTGGTTGACCTGATTGGTAGGGGTTAGCCCTCCTGGGTAGGGTCATGAGCCTGGGCCCAGTTGGGGCCACCCAGGTGTATCTCCCACCTGGTTTGGGGTTTGAATTTGAGCATGCTAAGTTTGGGGTCTTCATAGGCCCCAAATGGTCGCCTAAGGGTCGCCTGATTTCCTTCTAACCTTTTCTAGGGGGCCTGTGCAGGCATGAGAGGGTCAACCCCCACTTGTCCCTGAATCTAGCTACCTAACAATACCTCCTGTCTTAGCAGATGCTGTCTAGTGGCTTAAATGTGGAACATTGTTTTTCATATTAAGTGGGGCTTCTCATAAAATAATTTTTGATGCTGCTAATTATACTTTATGTTTTAAAGCTGTCATCTCCTGAGATTCTATCAGAGTACAGAAAGATCTTAAACTGATTATTTACTTTTATCTCATCACTTGTAATTTCTGTTTTATTTTTTAATTTTATAATGCACATGATAAATTAGTAACAGTAAAACAATAGCATATTCAAGATGCACGTACCTAGGCAGCTTATACCCTTAAACATTCTTACTAAGAAGTGTACCCAATCAAAGGAATAAATGGAGACTACTGGTTTCATTAGAATGCTTAAAATACTCAGAACAGAAATAGCTACCTCAATTCTTGTCTGGTGGTGTAATTGTCAGTGAGTTAGTTTAAATGCAACTAGCTCTCAATGGCTACAGAAATGGAAGCTGTGCTGGTTGGGATACTTTGTTTGATTCATACACAGTGGTTCTCAACCTTCCTAATGCTGCAACCCTTTAATGCAGTTCCTCATGTTGTGGTGACCCCCAACCATAAAATTATTTTCGTTGCTACTTCATAACTGTAATTTTGCTTCTGTTATGAATTGGGCTGGACCCCCAAGGGGGTTGCAACCCACAGGTTGAGAACTGCTGGTTTAAGGTTCGGTTTCCTAGGGATGGTCATTGTGAAATCTTTTTTTTTTTTTCATTTTTAATACGAGAACATTTATTGCACATGAAATCTTAAATGAAAAGAGATCGGATAAAAATCCAATTGCAAATGTCTTTAAAATTTTGTTTGAGAACATCTTTTACCAAGAATGTTAAGTATAAATCATAAATGCGCAGCTAACAATTAATTTCAATTTTCTTCTTTCTTATGTGCAGGCTGACCAAATATCTGGTTTTCATATACGATCTGTTCTCTGTGTCCCTATTTGGAATAGCAACCACCAAATAATTGGTAAGATATTACCTGAGTAGTTCAGTTTTCTTTCTTTCTTTTTTGACATTTCATTACTATTTATTGCTATTTCTACAATTATCATAAATGTAATGGCTTAAAACCACACAGTTTTATTCCCTTCTAGTTCTGGAGGTTTATGAATAATTTTCTTCAAATTATACTCATCTATTTTTGATCTGCATGTGATTTTATTAGGATAGGGTGCTGTGCAAACTAGAAAGGTGCATAACACCCTTATTTATATCTATATAGTCCATTAATAAATGATTGCTTGTATATGGTTGTAGGATTGTTTTATAATTGTGTTATAGTCATTCTTTTTGTTGTTATTAGGTGCCAGCCAATCAGTTCCAAGTCTTAGCTATCCTTCACACCATCCTCTTACTTGTGGCTACACCTGAACCCGTGGTTTCAGACACCGTGTCAACCCGTGTCATTGAAGGTCTTCTTCTTTTTCCGTGATCCTCTACCTGATCAAACATGATGTCTTTTGTCAGGAGCTGTTTTCTCCTGATAAAGTGTCCAAAATGTGTGATACGCAGTCTCACCATCCTCGATTCTAAAGACTATTCTGGTTGTATTTCTTCCAAGATAGATTTGTTCATTCTTCAGTATTATTTGCCACCATCATAATACAAATGCATCAACTGTTCTTTGGTTTTCCTGATTCGTTGTCCAGCTGTCAGATGCATATGAGACTAATGAAAATACCATGGTTTGAGTTGGGTGCATCTTAGTCCCAAAATGACATCTGTCCTCCTTAGCACATTAAAGAGTTCTTGTGCAGCAGATTTACACAGTTCAATGTGTTGGTTTCTTGACTGCTATTTCCTTGAGCAGGAGCTGTGGTGGTGTAATGGTTACACATTAGGCTGTGGTCCACTTGGTTGGCAGTTTGAAACCACTTTGGGGAAAAAAACTGGGCTTTCTACTCCAGTGAATAGTCACCGCCTCAGAAACCCACAGGGGGTCCCTAGAAGTCAGCATTGAAAGGATGGCAGTGAGTTTGTTTACTTGTTTTATGCCCTTGAACGTTGGTTGTGGATTCAAGTAAAATGAAATCCTTGAATACTTCCATCTTTCTTCTGTTTACCGTGTTGTTGTCTGTCGGTTCACTTTTGAGGATTTTTGTTTTCTTTACATTGAGGTGCAATCTACACTGATGGCTGCAGATTTTTAATCTTCATCAGCGCATGTCTGAAGTTCTCCGCATTTTCAGTAAGCAAGGCTGTGTCAGCTGCACACCATCACCACAGTATGACAAACAAAGGTGGAATAACTGTTATTGTAGCATTTATGTCTATTGTTGTATTTTTTAAATCATAGTGGTTTTAGACAATATTTGTCCTTTTTTGAATGACTTATTTTACTCAGCACAATAACTTCAAATTCATGGAGCAAATTTAGATGCTTCATGAACTTGTAATTGTTTTTAATCATTGCATAGAATTCCATGGTGTGTATGTACCACAGTTTGTTTATCCATTTGTCCAAAACATTTTCTTTCTCTTTGAGCCCTTGGTATCAGCTCCTCTTTTTTCCCTCCCTCCCCCAACCTCCCAACCTGTGAACCCTTGATAATTTGTAACTTATTTTTATTTTAATATTTTACTTCATCTGTTGTTACCCTTTACCCACATTTCTGTTGTTCATGTCCCTGGTGGGGCAGGAGGTGGGGGGCGGGGTTGTATGTCAATCACTGTGATCGGTTCCCCCTTTGTCCCTTGTTTCCCGCCCCCCCCCCCTCATGCTATTGCTACTCTCATTATTGGTCCTGAGGGGGGGTTATCTGTCCTGGATTCTGTGTGTCTAGAGCTCTTATCTGTACCAGTGTACATGCTCTGGTCTAGCCAGATTTGTAAGATAAAATTGGGGTTGTGATAGTGGGGGGAGGAAGCATTAAAGAACTAGAGGAATGTTGTGTGTTTCATCAGTGCTATACTGTACCATGGCTGGTTCGTCCCTTCCTTGTGTCCCTTCTCTGAGGGGATGTCCAATTGTCTACAGATGGGCTTTGGATCTTCCTTCTGACCCTCCTCATTCACAATGATATGATTGTTTGTTTGGGGTCTTCTGATGCCTAATATCTGATCCTGCCAACACCTGATGTTCATACAGGCTGGTGTGCTTCTTCCATGTGTGTTTTGTTGCTTCCCTGCTAGATGGCTGCTTCAAACCTTTAAGTCCCCAGACAATATATCTTCTAATAGCCAGGCACCATCATCTTTCTTCACCACTTTTGCTTAATCACCCATTTTGACTTCAGCGATTATGTTAGGAAGGTGAACATCACAGAATGCCAGATTATTAGAACAAAGTGTTCTTGCATTGAGGGAGGACTTGAGTAGAGGCCCAATGTCCACCTGCTACTTTGATACTTAACATATAAATAGAAGTACATAGACCTATGTATTTAACATATAAATATAAGCACATAGACCTATATCCCTATCATTATATATTAATATATTTATATTATACATGCCTATATAGATTGCTTGTGTCTCCTTGAAGTTTTCGATACATTTTAGACGTTAGACCATTTCAGATACATGATAGCCAAACATTTTCTCCCAGTCTGCACATTATCTTCTCACTCTTCTGGAGAAGCCTTTTGATGAGCACATCCATTCGGGCTGGAGTCAGTTCCAGCTCACAGCATCCCTGTAGGAAAGAGTAGACTAGAACTGGTCCATGGTATCTCTGCCACGGTGTGCCTCCTCTTTCTGTCACAGACAGCTTGAGGATTTGAACAACTAACTTTCTGTTAGCAGCCCAATGCCAAGTTTCCTTTAGATACGCATATGTCATCAATTTTTTAGAAGGTTCCTTGTATATAGTTCCTCTTCCGATGTTTGTACCTCTTTAGTTGTATTTGTATGAGGTATTTTGCAGTCATATATTAGGATCCCTACAGTTGTGAGACTGTCTCATATACGTTGGGTATGTTATTAGGAGGGACAAATTTCAGGAGAAGGATACCATGCTTGGTAAAGCAAAGGGCCAGTGGATACAGGGGAAAATCTGAATGAGATTGATTGACACGGTGGCTGCAGTGAAGGTTGAAACAGGAACAGCTGTGAGACCAGCACAAGAGCAGACAGTCTTTCATGCTGTTGCACAGAGGGCCAGAATTGTCTCCGTGGCACCTGACAACAGCAAGTGTCTCCCTTGTGTTTCTTTCAGTTTATGTAGCTTTAGGGTTTATGTTTGGGCTCTGGTCCATTTTGAGTTTGTTTTTCTGTACGGTGTGAAGTATGTATCTTGTGTCATTTTTCTCCAGTTACGTGCCAATTTTGCCAATACCATTTGTTAGATCTTCTTCTTCATTTAGTGGCAGTTGGCCTTTAGTCATGTAAAACTGTACGTAAGTGGATACACTGACATCTGGATTTCTGTATATTTGCATCTGGATGTATTTACATCTCAATTCTGATTCATTGGTCTGTCTGTCGTGATGACAGTACATTCCACCACATTCATGGATAAATCTGTGGCATTGGAGAAGCATCCTCTGTCAAACATAAATATGCACATACATCATATATGTATGTTTATGGGTATGGCCCCACTCTACCTCCCCTCTCCATTCAACCTGCATATCTAGCTATATATCCACTTGTAGATATCTATAATTACAGGATTGTGTAATTTAACATATTTAACACAATTACAGTATTTAACAATACGTGTGACAGTTGGTTTTAACTCTTGAAAACCTGCCAGTGTGTCTCCTCTGCCTTCATTCAAGGTTTGTTGACCTCCCTATTGTTGTAGATTGCCTTTGATATACTGATTTTTTTCTTTTTGGAGCATGCTGTTCAACTCTGGTGACTAGAATGTTGTTTAAAATTTCAGTCTGCGGGGTGTTCTTGATATGTTTACGATGTCAAGTTGGTTGACGGTGGCATTGAAACCTTCTGTATGTTTGTTGAGTTTCTCTAGTTGTTCTAGCTTCACCAGAAGTAATGTTTTGAAGTCTACTATTATTGTGGAGCTATTTTTTCTGTTAATGTTGTTAGTTTGCTTCATGAATTTTGAGCCCTGTAATTGGGTACATATTTATTTATTATGATTATAATCTCTTTGTGGATTGAATCTTTAATTTTTATATCATGCCCTTCCTTATTTTTTTATGGTGAATTTTCTCATACTGTTTACTTTACCAGAGATGAGTATTGCTGTTCCTGCTCTTTTGGGGTTATAGTTCGGTTGATTTTTCCATGCTTTGGATTTTAGTTTATCTACGTCTTTGTGTCTGAGATGCATCTCGTGTGGCCCTCTTATTGATGGGTCATGTTTTGAAAATCTATTCTGACACTTTCTGTCACTTAACTGGTGCACTTAAGTCGCTTGCTTTCATCCCGATTATTCGTAGCTTGGCGTTCGTGCTGTCATTTTGTTGTTTGTGGGGACGGAGGGCGGCGTGTGATGAGTTATTTGTTCTGCTTAATTTTCTGTACCGGCTTCTCTTTGTGAATATTCTTTTCATTTCTTTTTCTGTGTTGATTTTGTGTTTGCTGATTTTTAATGGTTATTTCCTTTTTCATTTTGCTGAGTAGCTTTGCTAACTTTCTTTTTGTTTACTCTGAAATGCACTTCTCTATCCCCAAGTTTAAATAGTCGTTGCTTTCCTTGACATTCCTTGGCTAGTAGTATTTCCTTGACATCTTCTTCATGTGAAAGTTCTGTAACTACATCATTTATCCCCACTTTCTGCTTTGCTGCTCTTGTCATTTACAGATTAAGGTCTCTGTTTCTCTGCTTTAGTCTTTTAGCCTTGTTTTATTTTTGAAAATGACTTGTTTGGGTTGATATCTGTCTGATATTGTCCTGGATCCAACATCAGGTTGTTATTGATTCTCAATTGAAAGGATTCCCTTCAATATGTCTTTAAAAGTTGGTTTGATTTTTATAAACTCCCTAATTTCTATTTATCTGAATGTTCTCATTTGGCCATTGTATTTGACAGACAATTTTTCTGGATATATAATTCTTTTGATTATATTTTTCTATTACGGTTATATATATATATATTTCATTCCACTGTTATCTTGCCTGTATAATTTCTAGCAAGTTATCAGAGCTCAGTCTTACTGGTTCCCTCTTTGTAGCTGACTTTTCATTTTCCAAGCTGCTCTCAGCATTCTTTCTTTGTCTTTGATTTTTGTGAGCTGGATTGGGACAAGTCTTGGTGGCTTTCCCATAGAATTTCCCATGGAATTAATTCAGTTTCTTTTATGAATATCTTCTTGTCTTTCATGAAACTCAAATCTTTGCTAGCAAATCTTTAAATATTCCCTCTGTTGGTTTTAATTTTTTGTTTGTTTTCCTCCTACTGTGCTGAAATTCTAATAATTTGTCATTTTATTCTGACTAGAATCCCCTATAATTCTTTAGGGCTTCTTGATTTTTTTCTTCATTTTTTCCCCCCTCAAACTAATTGGTGTGAAGGCATTTGTCCTCTATTTCATTGACACAATCTTCCATTGACTGAATTTTGCTCCTGTATCCTTGTATTGAGTTGTCCATTTCTGAAATTTCATTGTTTATCTTTTGGATTTCAAGTTGCTATTTTTGTATGATTTTGTCTAATGATTTTGTCATTTTATTCTTGTTTTGTTTTCCTGAAGCCTTTAATTGCTTCTTCTGTGTTTCCTTGGGATTTACCTGTGTTTTCCTTAATCTCTTGGAGAACCATACATATTAGTCTTTTGACTTATTTATCAAGTAGTTCATCACCATTCCTTCCTTTGGAAGTTTTTCTGGCTCTTTATTTTGGTAACTTGCTGGAGAAATCTTGTCCTGCTTCTTTATGTTGTCTTCAAAGCATTAAGATGTTCTTTTATTTATTTTTTGCATGTTTGCTTGCTGCATCCTGAATTTTTTTACTTACTTGCTTTTGATAGCCACATAGGTGAGACCTGCATGCTACTCTGGTCCCTAGGCTGGCTACACAGGAGCTATCACCAACTGTCTCCAGAGGGGAGAGCAGCAGCTGGGGGTGGGGTGGGGGTGGGGGCGGGGAGGTGATCTCTCTTCACAGGACGACTAAGAATGTAGCTGGTATTGCTCATGAAGTGATGCATCTGTCCAGCCATTTACCCAGGCATGAGCGCAGGGAGGTTTCTCACTAGTTGCTGAGTTAGATCTTGTGTGTGATGCAGGGAGGTATAACCACGAGTCCTCTGGTCCCCAGAGCAGAGGGTTGTGAATAGGAAGCACCACTGGTCTGCACGTCAGTGGCTGAGTATAAGAGTAGCTGCTGGCAGTTCTCAGACACCTGATGCCCATGGCCTGGTAGAGCAGTAGGCACCATCAATTCTTGGGACCCCAAATCAGATGCCTTGGGCATAAGAGTGGGAGCTACTACTCTATGTGGCCCTGCCACCAGTAACCAGGCAGAGGCCAACACCACTGATCTGTGGGTCTCTTGTGTAAGTGGCAGGGTGGTGGTGGGTGCTACAGGTTGCAATTGTGTGTGGATGGATAGATGAAAGGATGAGTGAAGAGGTGGACAACACCATTCTGTGGACTCTGGCTCAAGTAGCAGGGTGGTGGTAGGTGCTACTGGATTGCAATTGTGTGTGGATAGATGAAAGGAGGTCACTGTAAGTCTGGAACCTTTAGGCTGGGAGAATACAGTAGATGAGGTGAATGTACTCACCTTTCACAAGGCAGGGAGCACTCTGGTACAGAGTTAGTTGCTCCTGCTCTGCTGAACCAGGTCATGGGAACTTTGGTTGTTGACAATGCTTACTTTGTCTCAATATGACTCAATTTGTCACACTATGCAGGTTCGGCTGACAGTGAACTGGTAATCCCTAATTCTCCATGCCCATTGTTTTTATTCACTCTCTCCTTATACTTGGCATTGCTCAATTCCGTAGCCTTGCCTTTGATGCTCAGGATTCTGAAGCATCATCTATACCCAACTCACTTGTTTTGTAAGGTGTCTGTTGTAAAAAGAATATGATGAGGGATCTGACTGTTCAGCCATCTTGGACTTCCCCCCAATACCAGGTCTCTTAAATATGTTCAGGACTCATTAGCATATGTCTCTTACACCTGTATAATCTCTTAAGTGCAGACTTAATCAACATTAATCAGACAAACAAAGATGTAGTACGTACAAAGGGCCAATACATTTTGCAGATGGCGGTGATAACAGAAATCAACCAATAGAACGTTTTCATCTTACCTTGAAAATTACGGAGAGAGAGGGGGAAAGAGAGAGAGAGAGAGAGAGAGAGAGAGAGAGAGAGAGAGAGAGAAGAGAGATTACTTGTCCAGAATCACAAAGTGAATTAATGGCAGGGGCAGAACTAGAACTTGGACCTTGTGACTCCTAGTGCAATTTTTTCTCACTATATATACAGTGAACCCTCGCCACTTCGCGCTTCGACTTCCGCGGCTTCACTCTATCACGGTTTTTGCATAACAGCGCATGCTCTGTCATTACTGCCACTAATTGGCTCACACTGTACACGCTTGATGCCATAAATAATATAATAAATAATAAATGATAATTGTAACATCCAAAATGTTTTACTGTATTTTCCCTTTTTCCTTTAATAAATTGGGTAATATGAGTGTAATGGTGACTAAAGGGTGTTTTTTCATGTCCTCTATGCTCTAACTACGAAAATATTTGATTTACAAATAAGGAATCCTACTTCACGGAATTTCATTTATCACGGTAGGATCTAGAACCGATTAACCGCGATAAACGAGGGTTCACTGTATATACATTTTCCTCTATGCTTTTGATGAAAAAAAGATGAACCCGTATTGGACATACACCGAACATGCATCTTCTTGTCTGAACAGTTCTCAAATACACCATTCTTTTCCCAAGATAGAGGAAGAGGGGGCCAAAGCAGCTTCCAGCTTTTCTCTTCCTTTCTTCCCCTTCCCCTTTTCTTAAAAACTCGGGCAGGAGAATATGAAACCTAAGAAAGAGACCTAGGCAGGGAAAGTTTGGTGGATCAAATGGAGAAGTCATGAAAGATGGAGGTACTGGTAAGAAGTAGTTGAAACACAGTGAACATATGTTTGTTAGGTATCATCGAATCGATTCTGACCCACAGTGATCATAAGCACAGCAGAATGAAACAGCGCTTGGTCTCACGCCTTCCTCACAGCGGTTGTTAGGGTTGAGCCCATGGTTGCGGGCATTTTTCAATCCAGCTCTTGGAGGGCCTCGCTCTTGTGGGCTGACCTTCTACTTCAGCAAGCTGAATGTCCTTTTCCAGGGACTGGTGTCTCCTGAAAACATGCCCTACATTATTAGCCTCTGTCTCGTTATCCTTGATCCTACAGAGCACTGGGGCTGTAGATCTTCCAAGGCAGATTTGCTGGAAGTTCATATCAAATATATCACATTAATTATATCGTCTTTGAACACTTTGTAAACTTTGTCAATGTTTTAGAGACATTCAAAGTATGTCTCACTTAATCTTCATAAAACCTTCTGAGACAGTAGCTATTTTAATCTCCATTGTACAGATAAAGAATTTCCATGGTAAGAAAGTTGATAAAGGTAACACAGCTGATGATAGAGTTGAAATATGAAATTATCTGTCTGTTTAGCACCAGTGTGTTTTCTTAATCATTCTTCCATACTGTCTCTCAAGCATTGTGCTGAGAAAAAGAAATCATCTATCGATATTCCACTGTGTGTGTGTGTGTGTGTGTTCTGAGGATACACACACAGGAGCTTCAAAAAGTTCATGGAAAAATTACATAATCTTCTGTTGTAGTTGTTAATGGCTATGGAATCATGGTGAACTTTTGACAAATGGTGAACTTATGTAAAACAGAATTAATAATTGCCTAATCCTATGCCATCCTAATAGGGATGTGACTCTCATTTAAGAGTTTTGGTGCCATAGTGGGTTATGTGCTGGGCTGTTAATAACAAGGTCAGCAGTTCAAACCCACCACAGGAGAAATATGAGACTTGATGCTCCAACAAAGGCTTAAAGCCTCAGGAAACCAAAGGGGCAGTTCTGCTCTGCCCGGTAGGGTGGCTTCTGTGAGCTCGAATTGACTTGATGGCACAGAGCTTTTGTTCTCCTCTTGTTGCACCATCTGCATAATCTTCAGTATGCTTGAGCTCAATGTTGCAACCACTAAGCCATACGTATGCAGTCAGTTATACGTATGTTTTAGATATATGTGTATATTCAGTTATATATATGTTCAATTACATAGCTTCAGTTTTACATTATTCAATTATATATTTTATCTCTAACTTGTATATATATTTACTATATATGAAGCTATTTCATAGTTATATTGCATAGCGATCTCGAAAACTATTTTTAGGAATCCCATTGATACCTGGTAGAACACCAGGCTTGAGTCAATCCACAGACTACAGAGCTACACTTCACATTAACTCTCATGAAATTGGCAGGCACTAGAGAGGCCAGAATGTAAACTGAGTGTCTGCAATCATGTCGAGGAGCCATAGAGCTTGCTGCGACATGCTATATTGTAGTAATACGATGTACAATACCAAAAATGACCACATGCCCCAAACTTTACCCACAGGGGTGGCTCAAGTGTTAAATAGACTGGATGGGAAGCCTTTTGACGATGCAGACCAGCGACTTTTTGAGGTAAGAAAATAAAGCCATGGTTGAGTCATCAGGAGTCTCCTTGTTGCAGGTTGCTCAAATGTGGCTAACCCCATGTAATACTGTTATGCCTAAGTGGTGTGAGAACATCTGAAGAAAGATCTCATGTGTACATTGACACCCATGTAAAATCTGAATCCCACCCCCCACTAGTTAGTTTTCAATCATTGGTTATTTCTATCCTAATTTTAATACAGAGTTAAATTCCACCCTCTGGTCTTCAAAGTGTTATTGTCTTATCCTTGTCTTGTTTGCTCCTGTTCAAAGTTGTGAGGCTCCTTGACAGCCCTCAGGGCACCTTTCTTTTGTGTACAAGCTTCCATTTACTCCAGTCAGGAGGCTCAGGTGAGCCCTGGTGGCCTAACTGCCATCCATTCCTCCAGGAGAAAGATGAGACCATCTACTCTCACCATGATTACAAGCTCAGAAGCCCACAAGGGCAGACCTACTCTGTCCTATAGGGTTGAGATGAGTCAGAATCCCCTCAAAGACATTGAGAGTTGAGTCATCCCTCCACGAGGAGAGAGAACATGCCTGTTGTCTGAGGCACCTTTGTGTGGGTTTGAACCATCAACCTTTTGGTTAGTAGTCTGATGCTAAACTATATGCATCACCCAGGGATTCCTCAAGCCTAAGGAACAGGCTTCCATCAAGACGTCAAAATCCGTTTCCCTACTTAAGAATACCTCCAAGTTTCTTTCTTAAAAAACAAACAAACCCATTGCTGTCTAACCCATTATAACCGCGGACCTATCAGTGATCAGCCAAGCACTTAACCACGGTGCCACCAGCACTCCAGCTTGTCTGTTAGATGACTCCAAATCAGTACTCCTTCCCCTTCACATGTTGTAGTAGGGCTACATTCACCTGGCTTCTTTACCAGGTGAATTTTATAGTCTAACTACTGAACAAGTTGTTTGGGCTAAGTAAAATGCAGTTACCAAATCAGTTCACAATCTATAGGAATTAACACATTGAAAGGGGTTTTTAAGCACATTTTTAATGCATAAAATAGTTTCATAATAACAACATTAAACTAACCATTTTTTCATGTGCAATGTGAGCTATAAAGTTGTTACATGATAATAGTAATTAAAAACTTTAATGAGTATACTTCCCCAAAGCCCACCTCTGTAAAATAAAATCATCTGTTCAGACCCATCCCTGATGACTCTCTACTTACTCTCATACTTTGGATTTTGCTGATGAGTTGTTGTTTTAATTTGTGGACTTTCTCTTTCATAGGCTTTTGTCATCTTTTGTGGCCTCGGCATCAACAACACAATTATGTATGACCAAGTAAAGAAGTCTTGGGCCAAGCAGTCTGTGGCTCTTGACGTAAGTTTGGTGTTTATGTCAGATTCCTATTGCTTTTAAGTCTGCTGTTGGAGGACTCGTTTTACAATTTTTAATTACATGTTTTCAAAGTTTTCTCCATCGTGTTTCTTAACAATTGGATTCAAATTTGACAAACGCTAGAGACTCGTTGTAGAAAAGATATATAAATATGTGTGCACACTTTTGCATCTGATGTCCAGGGGCTTTAGAAATTCCTTGAAGCAGGACCCTGGATGGGTCCAGATCTAAATTTGGTTAGATATAGATTTTAAAGCTTAAGTTTTATTAAAGAGCAGTGATCCCAAAACAATGCATATGGTGTAAAAATATACTATTAACTTAGATTGGGTTTTAAAATATATTATTAACTTAGATTTGAAAATGGATGTGTTCTGGAAATACACAATTTTTCTTAACAGGGGAAAACTTCACTCTGAAGATACGACACAGAGTCTTAGGAGCTACTTCTGTCATTATCTAGCTGCCTCCACACCACACCACGCCATACCACGCCACACCACGCCACACACACAAATATCACTGGGAACTCTGACCTTGGGGGAGGGGGTGTTGATTTTTGAGTTTTTTATTTTCTCCTGCTACTATTTCAAAGATCTTTTATCAAAACCGTGATAAACTGGGGGAGAAAACAAGCTGTTGGGTAAACCGAAGCACCTAGGATTCGGGAAAATAAGAACTGTTTTGAGAACTTAGTACATCTGAACCCTAGGTGTTGGAAAGGAGAAAAATTCAAAGCAAAACAAAGAACCCTCACTGACAGCGAGTTCATGCCGACTTCTAGCAGCTCTAAAGGATAGAGCAGAAATGCCCCTGTGAGTTCCCGAGACTGCGACTCTTTACACGAATAGAAAGCCCTATGCTTCCCCTTCAGAGTGGCTGCTGGTTTCAAACTGTTGACCTTTAGGATAGCAGCCCTTTCTACTCTTTTAAAAAGAGTTACAGTCTCAGAAACTCCCAGGGGCTGTTCTTCCCTATCCCATAGGGTCACTATGAGTCAGTATTGACTCAATTGCAGCGTGTTTGAGGGGTTTTTAGGGATTTTTTTAAAGTTTCTTTTTTTGTTGTTGTTTTATTTTATTATTTTTTTAAAAATCATTTTATTAGGGGCTCATACAACTCTTAACACAATCCATAAATACATCAATTGTGTAAAGCACATTTGTACATTCATTGCCCTCATCATTCTCAATAGATTTGCTCTCCACCTAAGCCCCTGGCATCAGCTCCTCATTTACCCCCCTCCCCACTCCCTCATGAGCCCTTGATAATTTATAAATTATTATTTTGTCATATCTTACACTGTCAGACGTCTGTCTCCCTTCACCCACTTTTCTGTCGTCCATCTCCCAGGGAGGAGGTTATATGTAGATCCTTTTAATCAGTTCTCCCTTTCCACCCCACCCTCCAACCACCCTCCCAGTATCACCACTCACACCACTGGTCCTGAAGGGATCATCCACCCTGGATTCCCTGTTTCCAGTTCCTATCTGTACCAGGGTACATCCTCTGGTCTAGCAAGATTGGTAAGGTAGAATTGGGAACATGATAGTGGGGGGAGGGGAGGAGGAAGTATTTAGGAACTAGAGGAAAGTTGTATGTTTCATCATTGCTACACTGCACCCTGACTGGCTTGTCTCCTCCCCAAGACCCTTCTGTAAGGGGATGTCCAGTGGCCTACAAATGGGCTTTGGGTTTCCACTCAGCATTCTCCCTCATTCACAATGATTTAATTTTTTTTGTTCTTTGATGCCTGATACCTCATCCCTTCGACACCTCGTGATCACACAGGCTGATGTGCTTCTTCCATATGGGCTTTGTTGCTTCTGAACTAGATGGCCGCCTGTTTACCTTCAAGCCTTTAAGACCCCAGATGCTATATCTTTTGATAACTGGGCACCATCAGCTTTCTTCACCACATTAGCTTATGCACCATCTGTCTTTAGCGATCGTATCTGGGAGGTAAGCACCCAATGCTATGATTTTTCATTCTTTGATGTCATACACGATCCCTTTGACACCTCATGATCACGCAAACTGGTGTGCTTCTTCCATGTGGGCTTTGTTGCTTCTGAGCTAGATAGCTGCTTATTTGCCTTCAAACCTTTAAGACCCCAGATGCTATATATTTTAATAGCCAGGCTCCATCATCTTTCTTCACCACATTTGCTTATGCACCCGTTTTGACTTCAGCAATTGTGGCTATATAATATGTACTAAAGTCATTTAAAGCAAGCCCTCCTATTGTGTCCTTCGTCTTGAGGAGTTCTCTGCTAAATCTGGGCTTCTTCCCTCTCCATTAGTAATCAGTTATTAATCAGTTTTTCCATTTCTTTGAATAAAGATGAGGGTAATTGTATCAGGATTGCATTAAACTTATATAGTGCCTTTGGCAGAACTGACATCTTTACTATATTGAGTCTTCCAATCCACGAGCATGAGATATTCTTCCACTTGTTGAGGTCACTCTTGGTTTCTTGTAATAGTGTTCTGTAGTTTTCCTCATATAGATCTTTTATTCTTTTAGTCAGGTATATCCCTAGCTATTTCAATCTGTGCTTGGCTGTTGTGAAGGGTACCACCTTTTTGATCTCCTCTTCTGTGGTCTTATCTGATGTGCACAGCAGTCTGATGGACTTCTGTTTGTTGATCTTGTATCCTGCCACTCTTCAAAATTCCTCTATTGCTTCCAGTACTCCCCTTGTGGAGCTTTTGGGATTTTTCCACATATAAAATCGTATCATCTGCAAATAACGATAGTTGCACCTCTTCCTTCCCCAGGCAAATACCTTTGATGTCTTTTCCTTGCCTTATGCTGTTAGCTAAAACCTCCAGTATAGTGTTAAATAAGAGTAGGGACAAGAGGCATCCTTGTCTGGTCCCTTTTTTCAGTGGGATTGTGTTCATCTTTTCTCCATTGACTACCACATTGGCTGTTGGTTTTTCATATATAGCTTGTATTGTCTTGAGGAATTTACCTTCCATTCCTATCTTCTCGAGTGTCTTAAACAGGAATTGGTGTTGAATGTTCACGAATGGTTTTTCTACATCTATCGATATTGTCATGTGGTTCTTATAGTTTTTCATGTCAATGTGGTGAATGATACTAATGGTCTTTTGTATGTTGAACCATCCCTGCATCCCTGGTATGAATTCCACTTGGTCATGGTGAATTATTTGTTTCATATACTTTTGTATTTTGTTAAGGATTATTCCATCGATGTTCATTAGGAATATTGGTCTGTAGTTCTCAATTCTTATGGGATCCTTGCCCTGTTTTGGTATCAGAGTTATACTAGCTTCATAGAAGGAGTTTGGGAGTTTGCCATCTTTTTCTATGTTCTGGAAGAGTTTGTGTAGGAATGATGTCAGTTCTTCCCTGAATGCTTGGTAGAATTCTCCTGTGAAGCTATCTGGTCCACAGGATTTTTTTGTTGGTAATCCCTTGATAACCTTGTCTATTTCTTCTATTGCTAGGGGTCTCTTGAGATTCTTGACATCCATTGGGGATAGTCTAGGGAGGAATTGTTTTTCCAAGAATTTGTCCATTGTCTTCCAAGTTGTTGAATTCATTGGAGTACAGTCCTTCATAGTATTGTGTAATTATCCTTTTGATTTCATTAGGGTCTGTTGTAATGTCGCATCTTTCATCCCTCATTCTTGCTTTACTGTCCTCCAAGTCACTGGTGAGGTTCTCTGCTTCCTCCAGTCTATTCTCAAGGTCCATGCGTCCGCTACTGATTTTTGTTATCTCCTCCCTAAGCTCTTGCGTTTCCCTTTGATGTATGGACTTTATCTCCTCTATCACTTCATCCTTTTTCTGTACTGTTTCTCTCATATTCTGTATGACTCCAAGTATCATTCTGAAATTCTCTTTCTGTGGCAGATCAATGTTTGCTTCTTCTATGCACATCCTTAGGTTCAGAACATCTTCTGCCATTGCCTTTGTGTCTCCTGTTTTTTTCATTGAGGTTGTTGAGGCTGCTTGCTGCTTGCATTGCATTGTTTTAGAGGAGCCAGGCACCATTTTCCAGGGAGTCAAAAAGCACTGGCCCTATCTGGGAGACTCATAGCAATGCTCCTTCGAACTGGCTGCAGCTAATTTCACTTTGGAATTAGCCTACCACTTTATCCTCCTGTGGCTCCACTCTCAAGGGGAGTGCCCCCAAAGGCTGGTGGGTTGCTTGCTTTGGTGTAGAACACCATGAATGGTGGGTGGAATTGCCCTGGTTAGGTAGATCACTGCGGAGGTTGGGCAGAGGTTCCTGCAACAGTATGGAACATTGGTGAGTGTTGCCTAAGCTGCCTTAGGCCATCTAAGGCATTAAGATAGGCAGGAGGAAGTTCCTTCAGTCACGTGGGCCCACAGAGGACAAACAGGAGCTCCCCCAGCCACACAGGCAGGAATTCCCCGGGAAGAAGTTAGGCGGAATATCCCCTGGTGGAGGGCGGCTGGGCTTTCCCCAGCCTCACACCTTGCTGCACATGGTGGAGCTCACCTAGCTCGGTAGAGGGCAGTCGTAAATGCCCTAGCCTAAGTGCAGTGGTCTGGAGTTCAGCAGTGGCGTGTGAGAGAACAGGGAAGATAAAAATAGGGGAGGGGGAACTAAGTCTGCTGAGACTGTGGGGAGATAGAGAGAAGAGAGGGAAACAAAAGTAACAATATAGCTTAGCCCCGATCCCTGCCCGTGGGGCTGGAATGGTTTAATCCCTGCCCTGAGGCAGCACAAGCTGTGGCTGTGTTGAGATAAAGCCCCTGTGCCAGCTCCAAATGGTCCTGGCTCTGGAAGAGACAGTGGTGGGGCTAAGGTCAAGCCCTAATAGACCTCCACTGTGGTAGGCCAAAAGCCCCCAGCTCCTCAAAACCTTGTGGATCTGTGCCTAGTTATCTTTATGATGCTCCTCCTGCATTCTATCAGTGTTGAATTTCCCTCTAAGCAACTCTCCTGGGCTGGTTTCTGCAGAGTCCCTCTGGTATGTGT